AAAAAAAAAAAAAAAAAACCTTAGTACCTGGCTTATGACACTCATTTTATTGATTTTAAAATGTAATTACACCTGCTAGTATAAAAAAGTCCTCCATGCCACGACTGTTTCTTAGTATTTCACAAAATTATTAAAAGATTCAAGATAATTCTTAAATCCGAGCAATGAAACCAGAGCCACAACTGGAAAGGAAGTTGCTGGTGTCTTGTGCACGACCCTGGAGTTAAACCACACCCAGGAGGCAGCCAGTGACGAAGTCTCCTGTTCAGCCCACAGGGGAGCAGTTCTGGGTCCTCCCAAAGCCCTCTTCACTTCTCTGAGACTCTGCTTTGTCCCAGGGAGATTCCCTGCCTCCCTCTTGGGCCAGCGCAGGGACAGCACCAGGTCTGGCCCACGGCATTCTGGGAAATACCAAGCTACCTGAGGACACAGTTCAGTGAAGTAGAGTGGGAGGGAAAGTACAGAGAAAGTGTAACTGGGAGGGATGGGATCTAAATCATTGGGCATCCATCAGTTTCAATGTCAGATACTCTGCAGCAGGTACAAGAGACTAGTTCTCAGTTCTTAGGCCCACTCCTGATGGGATTTTAATGTTTTGGACGCTTGTGTGACACTCAACATTGCACCTCCTTTGACTCCAAATAACACAGTCCCACCTGCTATCAACACCCTGATTAAGTTGTCATATGTTGAACATTCTCATTAGAATATTACAGTAAGAATAGAGATACACTTTGCTTCCATAGCGACACCAATTTTGCACTAATATTTATCCCCGTGGACAAATGTAGTAGCCCAGTGAAGATGGTACCGACCTTATGGTTAATTAAGTGATAATTAATTCAACTCTGCTCTCTCCTGCTAAATAGAAGAGTGACTATGTGTGTGTTTTTGTATGTCTGTCTTAAGCCACTAAGTTTGTGACAAGTATTACAACAACACTAGAAAACGATCACATATTTTGTTTCATGGAGGAGACCGATACTGTCAAAATAGCTAATCATGGGAGCCAGCAGTTAGCGTAATGGCTATGTCGCTGGACTCCCACATAGTCGACCGCAGTTCAAGTCCCGGACCCGGTGGCTTAAAACTCACGCTGGGCGCGTGTGCGTGCGTGCCCAAGATCCCGAGAGGAGAATGGAGGAGAAGGGACTGCGGCATGCCCATCCCCCCTGGGGGGTGATTTCTCGCTTTCTGTCTCTATGTCTCTCTCTGTCTGTCTGGTGAGCGCACGCGCCCTATAGCAAAAACCTCTCCAAAAAAAAAAAAAAGCTAATCATTCTGAGCATGACCCAGATAGAGGCTCAATGGCTCTGAGCACACTGCTGAGGTGACCAGGGCCACTCTGGCCTCTGCTGCTGTGGGCTCAGGAGGAAGTGAGGAGGTAGGAGAGCCCATATCATGTGAGGGGGCAGCTGATTCTACATGGCCAGACTGGTGTAGGGACTTGGCCATGACAGTGGCGCTGGTGAGAGCTTGCGAGGATTAAGGGACATTGTGGGCCCTGGAGGAAAGGGAACTATTTTCACATTCTGGCAGAGAGCTGGGGTGACTTTGAGAGGAAAGAAGATCTGGGAAGCCGTGAACACACGTGTTTCGCTGAGGACATTTCTGGAGCATGACTGAAGCTGTACCCAGGCCTATTCTTCCTCCTAGAGGGAAGTTGTGCGGGGAAAGGACTCCTACCAGGAAGGAGCCAGGGCCTCATAATGCAGGTCTCAGCGTGTCCTGTGCCCGTCCTGCCCATTCCTTGCTTGTCTGTGTTTTCCTGAAGACCCTGGAGGTGACAGTGCCCCCCTGCCCTCTATCTGTCTCCTGGCTGGTCTGGGATGTGGTCTGGCCTGAAGCGCCCGCGCTCCGCACCCAAGGGCCCGGGGACCTAGCCGAAGCCACGGCCTGACCCTCCCTAGGACCAGGGTGGCAGCGGCGGGACCAAATAGAGTCCTGTGCGAGGCTCGGGAGTGCACGGAGCTGGGGCTGGGGACACTGCGCGGTGCTGGGAGGGGACCAGGGAGGCGGCGCGCGGGACCAAATAGAGTCCTGTGCGAGGCTCAGGAGCACACGGAGCTGGGGCTGGGGACACCGCGCGGTGCTGGGAGGGGACCTGGGCGCACCGGAGCCACAGGACCCTCCGCGGCAGGGGGACGACGGGACACGCGGCGACACCCCACGGCGGGGACGGGCCGCGCGGGGCCACGGACGACTGCACCCGGCGGTGCGGAAAGGA